CGACGCGTCGACGCGTCGCTCTTCCTTCTTCGTGTGTGTGTGTGTGTGAGAAACCGCGGCCGCGGTCTCAAAAGGGAATAATTGGAAAAAAGGGTAAATTATACATTTTAACAATTTGTATTGTACATGTTTGTTGCGTGACATGACCCTGAAAAACTACATTCAGTATTGAAGACCTTGAAATAATTTATAACCAATGCATTTTACCGGGGACAGAAATTGCTATTTTAACATAACAGTAGTAACCCATACAAATCTTAATAAAGTTGTAATATTGTTAAAAATATATTAAAGCCTTTTAACTGTTTTATAAATAAAACTTTTTTATTCGCGAGCGCCTGCCACTTTTCGGACAGCAACGATTTTATTTTAGCATCACCGTCACGGAGAATGAATTTTATTAATCGTCATTCGAAATCTTGTAACTGTCGGAGTACACGCATTCCCTCTGAGCAAAAGTCTTTTATTTAATTCTTCACGTGATCGACGAAATATTTACAATTAGCAATAGAAAGAAATACAAATTATTAATATGATAGTGTTTTATTTCCTGTTTTACACTGTAAATCATTTAGAAAACCGCTTATTATTTAAGCATGTCTTATTATTATATAAGTATATTTATTAGTATATGTATTTTTAGACAACTTATTTAATTGATACTGTCGCTTTTAACTCAGAACAACACTTCTCGTCAAGACTCAAGTTACGCGCCAATCTATCCATACTTCTAGTGCCATTGACAGCTGTCAGCTAGGGACGTGACGTTTATGCCGATAATATAGAGTTGCGCCAATTCTATAGCACGGTACTCATTTTGTTCCTAACAGTATAAAAATATGTTTATTTTATTTTTATTTAAAAGCCAGCCAAACAGGCAAAATGAATTTAAAAAGAATTATACATAAAAAATATTGCTTATGCAAGCAAGTGGCTTAAAACTCTCTTATGCATTTCATTAATCTCACTGTAAAAACTTTATTTTTTTTTAATCTTCACCTCACTTTCCCTTCTACCTTTACTTCACTATAGATTAATTTGAGCCTTTTTCTTTTTGCATTGATTAGTTTAGTATAAGTTAAAGTACTGGCAATTGGTGGTTGGCAAGCAAACTGTAGATAAACAAGATCCACTAAAGTATATTGTATATCATGGTTTTAAAGCCAAAATTTGGGTTATATTGAACAATATATCAATATCACTAAAACAGGTGACAATTATAAACTTTACCACATAATCAAAAACCTGTTATAACAGAAATATATTTGTATTATAACATATCAGATCTTACTTTAGTCTTTACAAAATAACTAGTACTTGTTATTTTCAATGCTGATTGATGTCTCCCAGCTTATATTAAAAGTTTTATCTTCATGTTTATTTTATTGGACCTGTATGAAAAGTTTTTTGACGTATACTGATTCTTTGTATTTACAACAATAACAATAACCTTTTTTTAAAATTTCCATATTTAAGATGTCAGTTTTAATAACACGTGTTTTTGACCGACTTCCCAAAAGAAGGAGGTATTCGACGATATGTTTTTTTTTTTATTTTTTTTTATGTGTGTTACGGAATAACTCCGCCGCTAGTGGACCGATTTGGATAATTCTTTTTTT